CGTAGGGAGGTGACACATTCACCCCAGGACTATCAGTGGTGGCGTCTCGTGTAGCCCGGGGGCCGGGTGACTTATCGAGCGATGATTCTAAGGCATGGATATAGTGCACTATGCAAGTGTTTTTGTTTCTAGTAGTTTTATAAATGTCTTAAATAGAAAGCACGAGGTATTGTTTTTATGTTTCTGCTTTTAAAGGAGAACTATGGGGTGACTCCTCATAGTTAGAGCCCATGTGTGACACTAAAGCTGTCACAGGTTGGCTCTATTGAGCCAACATACCGTCGCTTGCTCACTTCCCGATCATCTCCCTGCAGAGAGCGGTGACTCTCCAATCCTCCAGCGCTAACTTAAGCGACGGACGGGGAGGGGCCGGCATAGCCAGCTGTCTATCAGCTGGCGGGGTGTATCTCGACAGTATTGTCAGGATCCATCCTGGCTGCGGCGCTCTCAGCATGCTGTATGCTGAGTTTTGTGTCAAGGGAGGACACAGTATATGTCTTCTCGTGACCCTGAGGAGAATTATGGGCAAAAGGTTTCCTCATACTTCTCCTTTAACCTCCCTGGCGGTATTCCCGAGTGTAGCTCGGGGTTACTTTTCCATACCATAAGCGGTAACCCCGAACTACACTCGGTGAAAGCTGCATAGCATTTACTTACCTTGTCCCTCGAGCCGCACTGTGTTCTGTGCCGATGCCGGGTTCTGTCGCTTGCGAGCGTACGCATCGCAGGGGGGCGGAACGGCTGGATATTTAAAAAAAAAAATTTAAAAAAACGAAAAAAAATGACAAAGACGAAAAACAAACATTCGAAAAAAAATTTAAAAAATGACATGAAAACATTTTTAAATCATACCGCCAGGGAGGTTAAGAGTACCTGTGCGTGAGGGAGAGGAAGGGGACTGGGACCTCTGATGTTATTAATTAAAGCTGAAAGCCAGACACATAAACTTGCATTGAAATAGACTCCTTAATAGATGCAAAGGATATGAATCCACTTTGTGTGCAGCGTACACCTTTATAGTCATCATCACTGGGCTGTATATAGCCTGTGCAGAGAGCAGAGCTGTGGGAGGGGACCCAGCAGCTCCACCCACTACAGGCTGCCTGCATAAAACTACAGGAGGGGGCAGAGATAAGACCAGTCACCCTGCACAAGGAGAGAGAGCAGCAGTGAGAGGTCTTTATTACAGGAAGCTCCAAGTTTCTAGCCGGATTACTGCCCAGATCTGGAAGAAATACACACACCAACATGCAAGTAAGAATACGCACGACTCTTGTATATAGACAATATTTGCTTATCACGGAGTTCAACTTTAACCCTTATGTTGGTGATACTTTCTATGACCTTTTTTATTCCTTAAGGTCCACCGAAGAGATTGAGATTCTGTCCATTGAGGGAGGAACGGAGTGCCAAGCGGGTTTGTGGATTTATACATTCTGCAAGACTTCTGAGAACTGGAAGCAACACAGCACATAGGAATTTCACAAGAATTGATGCACATAGTCTGTGAATGTGACGAGGGGAATTTATCAAAATCTGGAGCAACTGTGCACAGCAACCAATCAGCTTCTCTCTTTCATTTTCAAAACATAACTAAACAAACTGAAGATAGAAGCTGATTGGTTCTTATGCTCCAGATTGTGTCTGCCCCAGTTTTGATAAATTCCCCCCATTTCCTTATGGTGAATATGCATAAGTGCTCAGGCTTATCGTTGTGTAGCACATATACATAGATCAGTTTTATGTTTATTTTACCTTGGATTAGGATTGTTATAGGTGTAGCAATGCACTTAGTGGGGATATTATAGGACCTTCGCAGAAATCTCCCCAAGACATACACAAGAATGACACTGATGTCGGGTCAAATACCGTATTTGCCGGCGTATAAGACGTCCACCCACTTTTTGTGTAAAAATATAGGTTTTGGGCTATACTCGTCGTATAAGACGAGTATAGCCCAAAACTATGTTTAAATGCACCCACTAACATCCATGGCGGTATTCCCGAGTGTGGCTCGGGGTTAATTTTCAGTACCATAAGTGTTAAACCCCAAGCCACACTCGGGATTACAGTCTCTTACCTTGTCCAGGATCCCAGCAGCGTCCTCCATCTTCCGTCCTTCAGCTACTACCGCGCTGAGCCAATCACGGCAGGCTTTGTATTCTTTAATACAAAGCCTGTATTTACTGAATGCAAAGCCTGCCGTGATTGGCTCAGCGTGGTATACTGTATGTAGCCGAAGCTACATACAGTATACCGAAGTATACCCGGCGTATAAGACGACCCCCGATTTTCGGGCTATTTTTTTGGGTCTCAAACCCCGTCTTATACGCCGGCAAATATGGTATATATTGGTTTTCCCTCTTTCCCTTTAAGTAAATCAACCTTATAGCCTGGGGGAGCCAAAAACATGTGGAAAAGTGGGCAGTGAACTGAAGACTCATAGAGGACATCTACAGAAATACATTTTATTGAAAATGCAGCTTTGTTAGTGCAATGCCACGTCCATGTTTTGGGCTACACATAAGGCAGCTCAGATGTACAGGCACAAACATGGTCTCTATTTGTTCATTCCACTGATACAGCCGGTCCACGTAAAATGCTTACAAATCTCTATAAATATCAGATCAGCAAAAAAAATAAAAAACATTAAAACTGACAGCTGTCATCATTCTTTTTCCCCACTGAAATCTTAGTTTTTCCCTCGCAATAATATCCCCCCCCCCCCATGATTGTAAATAGGAAGTTCCAGTCAACAGGTCTAGTGATCTACATTCTCAGCTACTTTCCCTTATGAGTTCCTCCCAATGGGATTTCTCTTTTATACAGATGCAAGGATCATAAGGCACAAGGGCTTTACACAATGGCAAGTGCCGCAGCCAGGCAAGGAGCATTCACATGCATTTAGCAGAGCAGAGTATTTCAGGAGACGACAGATAGAGGAAGGAGCAGAGTCCTCCAACAGTGTGGAGTATTTCAGGATAAGATAGTTAGACAGAGGAAGGAGCAGAGAGTTTAAGCGGAGGAATGTCTTTCAGGAGCGAAGAGTTAGACAGAGGAAGGAGCAGAGAGTTTAAGTGGAGGAATGTCTATCAGGAGAGAAGAGTTAGACAGAGGAAGGAGCAGAGAGTTTAAGCGGAGGAATGTCTTTCAGGAGAGAAGAGTTAGACAGAGGAAGGAGCAGAGTATTTCAGTAGAGGAATGTCTTTCAGGAGCGAAGAGTTAGACAGAGGAAGGAGCAGAGAGTTTAAGCGGAGGAATGTCTATCAGGAGAGAAGAGTTAGAGGAAGGAGCAGAGAGTTTAAGCGGAGGAATGTCTTTCAGGAGCGAAGAGTTAGACAGAGGGAAGAGCAGAGTATTTCAGTAGAGGAATGTCTTTCAGGAAAGAAGAGTTAGAGGAAGGAAGGAGCAGAGTCCTCTAGAAGAGTAGAGTATTTCGGGAGAGAAGAGTTAGACAGAGGAAGGAGAAGAGTATTTCAGGAGAGTTATAGGAAGAAGCAAAGAATTTCAAGAGAGGAATGTATTTTAGAAGAGGAGAGTTAGATAGAGGAAGGAGCAGAGTCCACCAGAAGTGCAGAGTATTTCCGGAGAAGAGAGTTACATGGAGGAAGGAGCAGAGTCCCCAAGCAGTGCAGAGTATTTCGGGAGAAGAGAGTTACATGGAGGAAGGAGCAGAGTCCCCCAGCAGTGCAGAGTATTTCGGGAGAAGAGAGTTACATGGAGGAAGGAGCAGAGTCCTCAAGCAGTGCAGAATATATCAGGAGAGTTAGAAGGAGGAAGGAGCAGAGTCCTCCAGCAGTGCAGAGTATTTCAGGAGAGGAGAGTTAGATAGAGGAAGGAGCAGAGTCCCCCAGCAGTGCAGAGTATGTCAGGAGAGGAGAGTTAGATAGAGGAAGGAGCAGAGTCCCCCAGCAGTGCAGAGTATGTCAGGAGAGGAGAGTTAGATAGAGGAAGGAGCAGAGTCCCCCAGCAGTGCAGAGTATGTCAGGAGAGGAGAGTTAGATAGAGGAAGGAGCAGAGTCCCCCAGCAGTGCAGAGTATGTCAGGAGAGGAGAGTTAGATAGAGGAAGGAGCAGAGTCCCCCAGCAGTGCAGAGTATCTCGGGAGAAGAGAGTTACATGGAGGAAGGAGCAGAGTCCTCCAGCAGTGCAGAATATTTCGGGAGAGGAGAGTTGGATGGAGGAAGGAGCAGAGTCCTCCAGCAGAGCAGAGTATATCAGGAAAGGAGAGTTGGACGGAGGAAGGAGCAGAGTATTTCGGGAGAGGAGAGTTGGACGGAGGAAGGAGCAGAGTCCACCAGCAGTGCAGAGTATTTCGGGAGAGGAGAGTTGGACGGAGGAAGGAGCAGAGTCCACCAGCAGTGGAGAGGAGAGTTGGATGGAGGGCGGAGCAGAGTATTACAGGAAAGGAAAGGTGGATAAAGGAACAGGTGGTATAATACAGCTGAAGATTATAATGACATGTACAGATCCTTCTATATTTTGTACAGACTTCAGTTTCCTGACATGATTAAACCTTTACTTAAAAATGACAAACAATTGTGTCCCAGAGAACCAGAGAAAGCCATTGTACATGATTGGCCCTCGTAACCCTGAGTCTGAGAGGCGGCGCAGAGTAAATCTAGTGGGATGGGGAGACTGACCCCCCCAGACTAGAGTTACAGATAGAGTCGGATACATCGTATATCTGTACAAACGTGTTCTGTCCGCTATGAGATGAAGACTTATCTCTGTGTCTATGGCACAGATACAATGAAGGCTCCTTTGTCAAGTGTCAGGCTTAGCGGCTTCCAGTCTCTCTCTGCTGTCCCAACTTACGTTCCTTTGAATTGAGTGCAAAGACGATACAATTCTATACAGGGAAAAGCTCAGGACACTTTCCACTTTCACAAAGAACACATTTTGGGTTTGTATTGTGAAGTTCAGCTGTCGATGATTTTAAGCACTTTTAACACACGTTTGCTGCTCCATATTTCCATGTAGTTCGCAGGAGAATCCTTTTTCTGAGACAGCAGCCTTGCTCAACAGTGGCAGAGATAAGGCCAGTTACGTGATAAGCCACCGAGAACTGTTATTGCTTTCAAACAGTCTGCAGTCCCACGGTTTTCCCTTGAAAGAAGCGGTAAGGCACAATCATTGTGCTACACTAGGAAGCACAGCCTGCCTATGTAATAAACAAACATGGCTGCCTCCCTGTGTACATAAATAACAAAACTATAAATAGAAATAAGATCTTTTCTTTAAAAAAAACTTTAACATGACAAGATTCTCTGTAAAGGAACCAAGCTGCAATTCTGTCTTGTAGAAAAAGTCATCCTTCTTGAAAGTCCATGTAGCGGTTACTTGAATAGTGCGGTCGCTGGTCTCACGCCGCCGCCACCTCTGGTCCTGCTATTCACAAGCTGTGTTATGAAAACCATAGACGACTCCGATCCGTCCAACAAGGTCACCTAATCCGTCTCCTCCCCAGATCCCATCACACATAGATAGATACTGCTTGTCGCCGCCTGTGGCGGCTCAATGTGCAGGGAGGTGATGGTTCACGTGGGTCGGATTGGAGCCAAGGAAACCCAGGCGCTGCTTGTTTTTTCTCTGCTCCGTCATCTGGAAAAACAAAGAGATTGAGAAATACGATTTATATTGGGACAGATTTCTGAAGCAGTCTTATCGAATATTCTCTTAAAGGGCCACTGTACTTTTATGAAACCATTTCATTAAAACCCCTTAAGTGCAGCCTGCCTGATATAATACCCTCCTGGGCCTGAGATGTCCCCTTTGTGGTCCTACCTGGTGCCACAAATGAAAACATCCCACCCGTGCCCTTTTGTACTGCGCATGCGTGCCGTGGCCTCATTTACTCCTACAGAAGAGCTGTGCTTATGTCAGCTCCCTACAATCCAGCAGGAATGATTGGGGTCGTGGCACACCTCTAAATCGCTCTCACTGGCATGGTGGTTGGTGGAATTCATGCATGTCATCAGAGGATGTCAGGACCCAGTGAAAAAAGTGAAACGAATCACTAATCAGAGAGGGGCACAAAAAAGCTTTAATGGATAATGAATTTGCAGATTCACTATTTTTCAACTTATTTAGATTGTAAGCCCTCAGGGGCAGGGCCCTCCTAACCATTTTGTCCTGAATTGTATTATGATTGTAATGTCTTCCTTATACTATAAAGGTCCAAACCGTTGGCGCTCTATAAATCCTGAAGAATCATCCTCATCACTTCCTGTAGCAGGCCAAGCTGTCCAGCAAAAGTGACAGTTACAGGGGTTGAAGAAAAAAAATAATAGAGCCGGGAGGGTGAACAATGGTCGGCTTTTAATTATTTACTTTTTTTTTTATTGTTTTAAATGCTTAAAAAAATAAGTAAGCTGTAGTTGGGCTTTAATTTGTTTGTCTGGCTTTTCCCACATGTCCATCTAAGAGTAACCGATCCACAAGGTGATCCTGTTACAAAAGAATAAAAATATGGGGAGGAGGATGACAAGGGCGTACTACACACTCCCACAAATATTTAGCAGGAGTGTGTGTGTGGTACGCTCAAAGTCCACAACTGGTTAAATGGACTTTATGTAAGAGACTATTCAATTAAAGTCTAACTTAAGTTAATGCTTTTAAAGCAGTTACAGCAAAAGTTTTATTTTGCTTTGGGAAAAAGGCAAAAAAGGCTTAAACAATACAAATAACAGTTGACCATTGTAAGCCCCATGTTGGTGTAATATGGTTTGTCCCATCTTGCAGTGCAGTGCCGTGCCTTCTGTGCTGGATGAGGCACCCGCCAGCCCGCCGGAGCTCCGCCCCTGTTCCGCCGAAGCCCAGCCCCATCCGGCTGAAGCCCCTCCCTGGCTCGGTAACCAAGCTGTGTGGAGAGCAGGAAGGGAGGAGCCTCCCTGTCCCTCACTTGCTCCTCATTGGTGAGGCATCGAGAGTGATGTCCTCACTGTTTTGTTTTTTTGATTGGACAGCTTGGACCAATGGCGCTTTGCCATTGGTCCAAACCATCCACAGAGCTCACACATGTAGCACAGAGTAGAGCAGCGGTTCTCAACCTGTGGGTCGTGACCCAAAAGTGGGTCGCAACTCACTGTTGAGGGGGTCGCAGCATCCACTTCTGCTGCGCTAGATGAGAGGCTCCTCAACCTCCTCCTAATGCAGCAGTGTCAGTCAGCAGGAGGACAGCAGAGGCTGTGAATATAAAAGTGCCGCTGTACACACTCCATGGCCGCTGCAGCGACATCTGGTGGCCGGGGAGTGTGTACAGCGGCACTTTTATATTCACAGCCGCTGCTGTCCTCCTGCCTCCCATACAATGTGAGCTCTGCAGGAGGCGGGCGTCTAAGCAGTGCTGGGGGCTGAGAAGGTTGCATGGAGACAGAGCAGGTAGCAGGGGCTGGGGAGGGCTTGTATTCTTGTGAGTGTGCTTCTATTTTTAGTCCCAAGCCCAGCGCCTTACTAATTCTGGAGTCCAGTGCCTTACTAATTCTGGAGTCCAGCACTCCGTTGGGGGTCACCAAAAACTTGGCAAATGTTACCAAGGGGTCCCGGCCCTAGAAAGTTTGAGAACCACTGGAGTAGAGGCTGTGACAGCTCTGGCCTCACCAAGTTAGGTTACACAAGCAGTGGGGACGCCCGCTGCTGTGCAACCTAACTACCTGTCAAAAGGCGGATGCAGCCCCGCCTGTAATTAAAAGGCAGCGCTCCGTCCATGACAGGTTACACAGCGGGGAGGATTTCCCTGTTATGTAACCTGTACGATGCCGCTCTGATTGGAGAAAAAGCGGTCAACTTCAGACTTGACACTGACACCTTTTTTCTTCATAATACTAGGTGAGGCCCTGTCTCCCCGACCAATGTCCCTGATCTCCTGTAACTGCTAATTTTGCTGGACAGCTTGGCCTGTTAAAGAAAGTGAAAAAATAACAGATCTACTGACGGATCAACAGGTAATAAAAGCATGTTACAGAGGGACCAGACAAAAAAACTGCAGTGTTGATGCTACTGACAGACTCTAACTGGTGCTTTCCACCATGTTTCTCACAGCTGGTTCTGTAAGTGCATCAGGTGGGTGATAGTTTCAGACAGTATTGTGCTGTGAAGAGAGAAGTCTCGTATAACAATAAATGACCCCTATAAAGTGAATGCATTTTCTACAGACATTGAAGAAAGATAGACACTCGATAACCTGTGTGTGTGGGCTGCAGGCAGCCGTTCCTGCATCCCTCCCACATCTCACAAGGTCAAGCTGCTTCATATACGCAGAGAAGTTTAGCAGAGAGCCTCTATGGGCGCACTGTGTATGAACATACCGGTCAGCAGGTTCACAGTACGGCTATATTTAGTGCTTATAAGTCAGCTTGTTTGGTTACATCTGACTGTGCAGATGCGTTCTCCCCATTTTTAACAATAACCTTGTATTTGGTCAAGGTACTACACTTAACGGGAACGCAGAAATAAAGGTTATTCAGTTCTGCAGTATGGAATTTATATATAAAAGAGCCAGAAAATTGTATTTTAAATGCAAGTAATTCATTCTTCTGTCTGGTCTGTAGGGGGTAGAGATTTCTAGTAGAGGCTGGAGAGGTAAACCCGTTGACAGCCTCTTCTGTCTCTCAGGGACTCTACTGGTGAGATCCCAGCGCAAGTTCCTGGGTCTACATATCTGCTGTGCCCATTATGAGGGGCTCCCACCATCCCTGTGCTGAGTTCCTGGGTCTACAGCCCTGTTGTGCCCATTATGTGGGTCTCCCATTATCTCTCTGCAGAGTTCCTGGGTCTGCACACCTGCTGTGTCCATTATAAGGGGTTCCCACCATCCCTGCGCAGAGTTCTTGGGTTTACAGACCTATTGAGCCCATTATGAGGGGTTCCCACTAGGGATGCACCATTACTGAGTATTGCTCCCGATACTGGAACTTCCCGCTTGGTGACGAGGGAGCATGGAGTCGGCTTCCCGGCCAATCAGGAAGCCGGGGGGCTTGTAATGACTCACCGCCCGGCTTACTGATTGGTCGGGCAGCTGGCCAATCAGGAAGCCGGCTCCATGCTTCCTCATCACCTGTTGATAAGGTAGCATGGAGCCAGCTTCCCGACTAATCAGGAAGGTGGGCGGCGAGTCATTACACACCACACGGCTTACCGGCTAATCAATCAAGGACCTCCGGTATCAGTATTCGATAGCGGCTTGCGAGTACCAATATTTTTTTCCGGTACTCGTACTCGATACCGAAAAACTGGTATCAGTGCATACCTAGTTCCCTCCGATCCTATGCTGAGCACATGCATCACTGAAAAGAGTTTAAAAAGTTGACGGTTTTGTTTATAGAGAAAATGTGACGAGTCCTTCAAGAAGAGATCTGTCTTGAGTCTACAGTTGGCCATACACGGGGCAAATTCCAGCCAGTTTCTGAAGAACAGGCCCAGATTCTCTTCATGGGTGGCCATGTTGGTAGCCCACCACCTGACATGCTTCGATCTGAAAGTCGAAGGAGCTGGGTGGACAATACTCAGCCAGTCAGCTGCAAACACTGGTATCGGGTATTCTGGATGATCTTATTGATTTTTCTGGGGTTGGGAGAACTTCCCTTCGCTTTCTGTCCCAGAGACACAACAGGAGATGGGAGGTGATCACTCCAATGTGACAGGTCCCTTGTAATTGTCACTGGAACAAGTGTCCCCATTGGAAGATTTCCCCTCACCTTCTGTAAAAGTTTAGACTTTGCCTCACTTTCTGTTTCTGTGACAATGGTCACCAGGACAAATCGAAAAGGTAAATCTCTCCAGCAGTTCAATCATGACACAGAGTCTAATCTGCTCCATGAAAAACTAAAGATACATTTGAATGACCAAGTGCAGTGTATGAGGTTGATGATGTCACAAGGGAAAGGGAAGAAAATCTTTTGTTTTTAGATATATTTTAACCCATTTTTTTCACAAAAAAAATTCCCTGAGAGTTTACCCCACCCGAAATATATGTCATAGTTCATTATTTTTACTAGGGATGCACCAATATATTGGTATCGGTGCAGATACAGAGTATTTGGACAAGTTCTCCTACTCGCCCAAATGCTCCCGATGCTTATCCCGAAACCGGTATCAGGAAGCCGGGCGGTGAGTCATCACACACCGTCCGGCTTGCTGATTGGCCAGAAAGCCCGCTCTATGCTTCCTCGTCACCTGGTGAGGAAGGAGCATGGAAGCGGCTTCCTGGTCAATCAGGAAGCCGGGTGGCATGTAATGACTTGCCACCCGGCTTCCTGATCGGTCGGGAAGCCGGCTAATCAGGAAGCTGGCTGGCAAGTCATAACACGCCGCCTGGCTTCCTTAATGGGATTTCCGGTATTGGGATTAGTTATCGGATAGATATCTGTGCACGCATTTGATACAGAATAACTATCTGTGCACCCCTAATTTTTACTGGACGGAAGATTGACAAGAAGGAGGTCGCACATCAGGTGTACGTCTGCCCCTACCTGCTCTTTGAGCTCTGCCAGCTGGCCGGACAGTTGCTTCACCAGGCTCATGGTGGAGTCCAGCTTCTCCTGCAGGTTGCGGATCTCGTTCTGCTCGTTTTCCCCCTCGCTGCTGACGAGGGACATGGCGCGCATCCGAGGGAACCAGTCCAGGTTCTTCTCCTGGAAAAGAACGGCGAGGAGATTCATTTATCACACCCGTTCCCCAGCAGGACAATGCAGTCACAGCATCAATCAACACAGCAGCTCGGCCTGAGAAAAATCTCTTTTTGAACGCTTCATTAGTAAGCGGTAACCCTTATCAATCAGCTGGAAACCAGCTTACTGCAGCACCGGCGAGTGAATCTGATTGGTCACCTGGGATTTACAGACTAGAAAAGAGCAACTGCCAGCCCTAAAATAAAGCATATGTATAAATGGTTGTCCTTAGTACAACAATAAAGAGAAGAATCAGCTATGGTAATCGTTAGGTGTCTGATGTAGTTAAAGAGACCCTGTCACCAGGCCATTCATTTTAATAACAACCTTCCTATGATATTATATGAGCATTGGACATATTCTATTCATGTTATTCACCTGAAGAAGCCTCCCTTGTGTACACATCTAAAACTCACGAGACTGATGCTGTGTGCCGCCTTCTTGGATGTGATGTCAGCATCCCCAGCAGACTCAGAGCTGTCACTCAACAGACACTCTATAGCCGGGGTAGGCAACCTCAGCAGCCCACAGGTTTGGAACTACAAGTCCCATGAGGCATTGCAAGTCTCTGACAGCCACAGACATGACTCCCAGAGGCAGATGCATGATGGCATTTGTAGGGTCACCACAGCTGGAGTGCCAAGGTTGCCTACCCCTGCTCTTGGGTTCCTCTACCCTTCACCCCCTGGTAGCTATATAAAAGGTTATGTAGGAAGGGGAAGGGAGGAGTCGAGAAGCTGGCTCAGCATAGACAATAATTAAACACTCCCAGAAAGAGCGGGTGGCTGTGCTAGAGAATTGACTCTTCCTATAGAAGTCATATTTTCTAACAAGTTCAAGTTTAGTTCAGTAACTTGTATTGAAACTGTAGTCCATCTCGTGATGGACTACAATCTCATGTTTAGTTTACTAATTTGCATTGAGATTGTAGTCTATCACAGGAGTGAGCTTGGAGCGGTGACTACTTTATAATGCACACAGGGACCATGGGGAACAAAAGTAGCCCCCCTCCAGAAGGAAGGACAGTGTCAGCACCAATTCAGAGATGATTTGAGGATCTACAGCCCAGTGATAAACAAATAAGATACATTTTTGTTCATAGCTAGGGTACGTGAATGTATTTTTTAAATTCAACTCTTGAGTTTGGTGTCAATTTAAGAAAAGTTTTATTAGTTAATTATGCCTGACGCAGATCAGCCCCTGCTGCAGCTTCTCACCGTGTGACTCGTTCCAAGGTTACAATGTACAGTCTGATCACTGAGGGAGAGGAAACTGAGGAAATGACTGATCATTGGGGGGGAGACTGAGGAAATGCTTTCTCCTGCCTGCAGCAGACTGAAGACATCATCCCAGCCTAGGCACAGTCTCTAGACTGGAGCCCAATGGTGGCTTTTAGTGATAAAAGTTGGAGCTTTTGTAAAAAATGACATGGAGACATTTTTTCACACAAATATGTAAAGTCACTGAAAGATCCACTTCAAGACAGTGACAGGTGATCTTCAAAGACTGTGTATGCTAAAATAGAGAATCAGCTTGTTTTTCCACGTGCAGGAATTTCCCGAGATGTAACAGAAAATACCACGTGAGGGGGTAACGTGGGTACAGAAATGTACAAATAATCTTTCCTAACTTGCCCCAGTAAAATGCTATTTCCCCATTGTATCCCTGAGCTAAACACTGCGACTCTCAGCGGGCTCTTATCAGGGGGAAGTCAGTGCAGTTATTCAGGTGACGGTTGTCTGGTCCTTACACTGAAGATATTATCTATACAGTGACGCAGTTTTCTAGGAACAGTCGGCTGAGCAAGTTCAGTGACTACAGATAGGCTGGATTAACCCCTTAGGATCCAGTGACGGCAGATCTACATGACGACGAGAGGCGCCCTTCTGCAACAGTGACTTCTGATGTATCTCAGTTTGACTTTTACAAAAATTGACCATGATACCGTCCAGCCAGATAACGCCGGGGCATTGACTGCAGTCTCTGGACAATTGTGCAACCCTTCTTTTGCAGACCGTCACCTCAGAGGAAGTCAATAGTGACGAAATGCATCAGGTGGGCGGATCCATGCGAGCATCAGTATTAGGGCCCGTTCACAATAGATGCAGTGCGTTCCGGCCCAATTCTGGCCTGAATGCACTGCCACGCATTGCGGCCGGCTCATGTTTTTGTGGAGCAGGGGTGGGCATGGCAGGGGTGGGCATGGCAGGATATTGAAGTGACATTATGCCTGCGGTCTGGTCCGGTGCAATCAAAATGCTGCAAGCACTATTCTGATCGCACCGGACTGGACCGCACCGCAGGCCTAATGTGCCTTGCGATCCCGTGTGGATGATCGCATTGCGGCCGGAGGGCGGGGCTACGGTACCATTCACTTCAATGGCTCGTCACGCCCCCTCCTGCCCCACAAAAAAGGGAGCCGGCCGCAATGCAAGGCAGTGCGTTCTGGCCAGAATCGGGCCGGAACGCACTGCATCTGGTGTGAACGGTTTGGGAAAGATAAGCTAGAGTTGGGAATATACCCCAATTTATCGAAAAACGAAGGGGTGGATTTGGTTCTATACATATCACCAAAGCGCTAATTGTTTATCTGAAATATGGTGAGCAATAGGAGTCGGTGAGTGCGGCCAGGTCTTATCTTTGAGCACTGATTCACTAATTGTTTATACATTCACGGAGGTGGTGTGGATTATAAAAGTTGGAAGATAGATCTTCACATATTTCAAGGACTTTATTGCATTAAGAAGGAATGGACTTCACATACGGATATGTAGATTAAGTGGGAGTTATACATCACTTGTGAGATTTAATACAGGACTTTCTATATGTACACATTCTATGAGATGTACTAGCACAAGTATATGTTTTTTTTTGTTATTCACATTTTTGTCAATGTTTATTATGGCTTATAGTGTCTAGAAAAAATGTTTAAAAAAAAAAGCTGCCGCTCTTGTCATACAAGGCCAGGGACCTGAAAGGTGAAAAAAGGAATAATACTCACCATTAATCCAAGGCTACCCCCCACAGTACCTCTTCTTCTCCACAAGATGTCCTCAGTCTTCCAGGCTGAATGACACCCAGTCTCACTCCACCCGGAAGACTGAGGGAATACTGTGAGTGCAGGGTGTCATGGCCCGGCCCTGAACACGGTGCCATGTGCTAATAGTGTGCTAATGCAAAAATGGAACTGATGTCATAAGAACAGTAGTGTGTGTGTGTGTGGGGGGGGGCGGCTGTCATTTACTGGTGGTAATGACCACCAGTAAACAAATGACTTCAGGCAAGAGGGAAAATTGGCCAAATCTAGCCATTTAGTTTGCCTATTTGGTGAACTGTGACAAAGCTGTGTTCAGGTCCAACTCATGGTGAACCCGGTGCTTATCCCTCCCTGTGATTTACATATGACATACAAGGTTCCTGCTTGGGTCAGCACAGTGTTTGCTCTTTTCTGTTCCTTCCTCTCGCTGCAAGTCTATCAGTCTGACCAGAGTTATTGAAACCGTACAATGTCTACCTGTGAGTTAGTTTTATCTCAGCAAAATTATTCTGTATAAGTGATTATTCCACATGTCAAACCTATAGGCACTGGGGGAAGAATCTAGAAATATGAAGCTAACATATCCACCTGAACATATTGAGCCCAGGCTTTAATGGACCCCCCCTAAGGATGTGACTGGACAGTGAAAGAGAAGGAGAGCTCATCTCTCTGTCACTCTGCTCTCTCCTACTTTCAACATGTGAACTGATTGGCCCCTGGTCCCCTGCTTCCTAATCTCCCAGTCTAAGCTCTACTGTGCAGATACGGCAAGAGCCTGTTACCAGGTCAAATTGAGGTACCTACACTTCTCAAATTTGAAAAACACATTTAGAACCTGTTCACACCATCCTGCATGTGTTACATGCTCACATTGGTCTGCGTTGTGTAGGGGGGGTGTGATGCGTTGTCACAATGCAGATGAATGCACCTGGTGTGAGCGGCCCCCCCCAATGATGTATTAATGATCACAGAGCTGCATTCATTTGCCCGGAGTTCAGCTTTAAGCAGATCCAATATTTCAAAATAAAAGTCGTAATTGATCATAAGCAGGATTTGTTTTCTTCCGTCCCGCGTTACAGATTCACGTTACAATCTGGATGACGCACGCCAGCCTCCAGGATGAGGAACGTGACGCAGTTCTGGCAGAGGAGACCGAGTTGATGCTCAATGAGCAGATGCTATTGATATAAATAGTAGAAGAGTTTCTCCAACTAAACAAACAATTTCATAAACCAAATGTGAGAACAGTCTGGAGATTATTGCATCAGCCCGACAGCCTCCTCTCTCCCTCTCCACGCCGCTCTGCGGGCTCCATCTCCATCTGGCTGTGGCTGAATGCACACTGCTAAGTGGAAATAGTTCACCACAATAGCGGAGGTTTTGTATCAATGCGCCTATTCAACAGGCGCGGTACGGAGCAAAGCAATGTGCTTTACAAAAACTTAGAGAGACCCTGTCACCAGGTAGAAGCACAAAAAAAAAACATCAAAGATTTCAGATTCTGATTTGCAGCGTTTTTCCTTTTTCATAAATAACGTTTTATTCCTTTGAAATGTGTCATTGTACTTGACTGCTCCAGGAAGAGTCAAATCCCTAGCACAGCCCCCCCCCCCCCCTTCTTACACATCATTTCCTCCTATCCTATTCTGGGAGTATCTAATCATTCTCTGTGCTGGCCCAGCTACTACACCCCTCCTCTCACCTTCATACATAACCTTTTTTTGTGGCTGTCAGGGGAGGGGCAAAGGGGAATACTATAGAGCAGGGCAAGCCAAACTTCAGCCCTCCAGCTGTGGTGAAATCCCATCATGCATCTGCCTCAGGGAGTCATGACTATGAGTGTCAGAGTCTTGCAAAGCCTTATGGGACTTGTAGTTCCACAACAGCTGGATTGTGGAAGTTTGGCTACCCACCCCCCCCCCCTAGA